ATCTTTTGTATATATATATCGTCGCTTTCTCTCTCTACTTTCTCGACGGATCATCGAAAAAATCGAGAAAGGTGATCGTGTGACTATTTAATTAATGACGAGGGCTAATTTCAGCATTGAAGGAGGAGATCCCTCTTCTCATAAGTTTGACGACGATGGCCGCCCGAAAAGGACCGGTAATTAAAATAACTTCTTATTCGTGTTTTTATATTTCCCCAGAAACAAAATTTTCATTTTCGATTTTGCACATAATCGCACACACACATACACACCGTATATATGTGTGTACAATATAATCCGGTGAAATTCAATGGATAATATAGTATAGAACAAACCTTATTTGCTCGAATTTACGAGAGTTAAGCATTTTTTATATATTAATGATTGAAATTTTCGTCGGTTAAACCATGTTTTCTGGTGGTATGATGAGACGAAAATTGTTTATATATATGTGTGTGTTTGTGTGTATCTTGTTTACTTGAAAAAAAAAAAACATTTTTATATTTATATTTTTATTTCAATCAATATTGTGATAAAAAAAATTTAAAAGTTACGTACAAAACTATTTTAAAAATTATTTGTACAATTGTTAATATTTTCATTATTATTATTATTATTATTATTATTATTATTATTATTATTATTATTATTATTATTATTATTATTATTATTATTATTATTATTATTTTTCTAATTAAAAAAAAATAGATTATGTTTTAGCAATTAGAAAAAAGCATAATGAATTTTTCACAATTCACTCACTTTAATTAACACCCACGTTTCCCATATGTTTTATATGACTGGTTATTTTATTATTAAAAAAAATCAGGGACGGCGTTAACGGCAAGTGCTCACATAATAACGGCCGTTATTGGATCTGGTGTGTTATCCTTAGCGTGGGCCATCGCTCAATTGGGCTGGGTTGCGGGCCCCATCGCCCTTGCTTCATTTTCAATAATTACATGGTTTACTTCAACCCTATTGGCTGATTGCTATAGGTCAACTACTGGTACTAGAAACTATACTTACAGAGACGTTGTAAAATCCTATTTAGGTAATTTCTTTTTTTTTTTTTTTTTTTTTTAAATTAATTTATTTAATTGTAATAAAAAATAAAAAAAGAATATTCTTTTTTGTGATGCAGGAGGAACAAAACAGACGCTTTGTGGGATTGCTCAATACACCAACCTTGTTGGTGTTACTATAGGTTACTCTATCACCACCTCCATTAGCATGGTGTAAGTATAATCTTGAATATATATATATAATATATATATGAGTTATTTCATGTTACTAAACGAGACATCACATCTTTTTGGGTCTGAATTGAAATATAAACGATATTTCGATTTCTGATTTGATTTTAATCTTTAAATAAAAACTAAAAAAATTGGTTTCGATTTCGGTTTTGGTTAGTTCACTCGCCACAACCTTTAGATTTCAAAATCAAGTTATTTAATTTGTTATGCATTTTCACTATAATTTACGAATTGTTTACTTAATATTTGAAAAACATTTCACAAAACCTCGTCGATTGAAAGTTTTTTTTATAAAAGATCCCTTCGTTTTACGTTTAAAGCTTAAAATCATTAAATCCCTTAATTATTTACATCACGAGTCCAAAATAACATAAAAAATATTTTATTTTTTTAAAAAGACGTTATTTTTTTGATGTGCTCGATAAATACGATAATACGTGCTGTCACTAAATATTTGTTGTGAATCGATCAGGGCAATCAAGAGATCACATTGCTTCCACAAATATGGGCACGAAGCCGGTTGTCACATGTCGAATAATCCTTACATTATGGGTTTCGGAGTACTGCAAATAATTATTAGCCAAATTCCGAATTTTCACGAGCTTTCGATACTCTCTATTATCGCTGCCGTTATGTCGTTCGCTTACTCCTCTATCGGCATCGGTCTCTCCATCGGCAAAATCGCAGGTAATAATAATTAATTAATAAATAAATTAATTAGCATCACTAATCATATGCTAATTACTTCATTAACTATTATAAATATATACAGAAGGAGGGCATGTGGAGACTAGTCTCACCGGAATACCGATCGGGCCAAACATGTCGAAAATCCAGAAAATGTGGAATACCTATTCTGCCCTTGGAAACATTGCGTTCGCTTACGCTTTCTCCAATGTACTTGTTGAGATACAGGTGATCGAGTTATTCGATTTGTTAAACCTAGCTAGTGTAAATAATTATGACATTTTATTTAAATTAATAACTAATATGGAATTTCGAAAAAAAAAATTAATAATAATAATAATTTCAGGACACGATAAAATCAGGACAACCGGAGAACGTAGTAATGAAGAAGGCTACTTTGGCTGGGATTTCGGTTTCGACCATGTTTTACATGCTTTGTGGGATTTTAGGGTACGCTGCATTTGGCAATAATGCCCCTGGAAATTTCCTAACCGGTTTCGGCTTCTACGAGCCTTTCTGGCTCGTCGATATAGCTAATGTGTGCATCGTGGTTCATCTTATTGGAGCTTACCAGGTAATTTATATAATTAAACTATATCTTCCCCCGATATTATTTACCGATTTGAAGAATATTTTTTTTTTAATTTTAAATTAGTTGTCACTTTAGAATTTTCATGAAGCATTTTGTATACATTTTCTCAATTTTGACCTTGTTATTTTTGATTTGAGAGAGAATTAATAGCGACATAATTAATGAGAGGGGTATTTTAGTCATTTTATTATATTTTCCTTGAAACTGTGCACATTTATTAATTTCTTAATACTCGTGCACATATATTTTCCAATAGTACTACTACAAAAAAATTATGTGCGTGACGTATCTATCCCGATCGTTAATGCAGGTATTTTGCCAGCCAATATACGCGTTCGTGGAGAAATGGAGCAACGAAAAATGGCCGGAAAATAAATTCATCACGTGGGAATATTCCGTATGCGGTCTCAAACTGAGTTTCTTCAGGCTGATCTGGCGGACACTCTACGTGATCTTCACAACGGTCTTAGCTATGCTATTCCCATTCTTCAACGACTTTGTGGGACTCTTGGGAGCCGCTTCGTTCTGGCCGTTGACCGTTTATTTCCCGATAGAGATGTACATTGCAAGAAGAAAGATTCCAAGATTCTCTTTCATGTGGATTTGGATGCAAATTCTTAGCGGCATTTGTCTCGTTATTACACTTCTTTCCGCCGCCGGTTCGATCGAGGGGCTCATCAGATCACTCAAGACGTTCAAGCCTTTCCATTCGATGTCTTAAAAACTTTTATGATTTTTTTTTCCGTTTCGAAGGAATATTGTGTCTTGTCGGTTTTTTCGGACAAAATATTTAGAAGGTGTCCTAATTAATAATAATAATTTTTTTTTTGGAGGTAGTAAATACTAAATACTGATGTTTTAGCTTCCCATTTTGTTTATCAAAACTGAGGAGACTTGTCTTTTTTAGGGTTATTTAATTATGTGTTTGAACAGATTTTTTGTTCTGATGTCTACTTTAGTACATTATTTTTTATTAGGATATGTAGATTGTACATATATTAAATGGGTCCCCTGAATTTTTTTTTTTGACATGTACCCCCAAATGTTTAATCTATTAACATGTACACCCCCTCCCTATCTTCATTTATCTCTCAGTGGTCCGTTAGATTTAGGGGTAGAATAGGAAATTACATATAAACAAATAAAGAAATAAAAATATTAATTTGTAAAATTAACATATTAGTTAAGAAGTAGCTTTTTAATTAATTTATCAATCTTACATTTTCTTAAATTTCTTGGACACCATTTTTCAATATTTATGAAAAATATACATGAATCTTAAAGAAATATTAAGAGACGGGGGCAACGACGGGACGCATTGATCGAAAGACCTTTACGATTTATGTTTTTTTTTCTAATAATATAAGTTCACAATTGCTAATAATATAATTAATTTTCTTGTTATTGCATCTACGAAAATTCGTCATGCCCCATACATGTAAACAATAAATGAATACTGATCGGTTAAAAAAATGTAATACTGATTAATTGGAATACAAAACTTCAAATAATAGAAATTAATCAAAAATTAAATTGGATGAAAGGGATGGATCTTTAAAAAACAAAAAAAAAAAAAACATAATAATAATTTAATAAAATAAAATATATTCAAAATGTTGTTGCTAAAAAATAGAAAAGTTAGAGGAGGTAGATGTAAATAACTATATTGTGTTCAAAGTTAGGTCAATATATATATTTTCCACAAAATAACACCTTATGGTCTTACCTCGTATCGTCGTACGACGTACGTTGCGAACATACATATCTCCATGCTAGAGTTTTATATACCCTTTTAACAAGACTGAGTTGATGTGCAATCGATCTTATTTACTTAAACAAGGCCCATATGGGCCGAATAGCCCATATCAAAAATAAATATACTCATACTTAATTACACACGTGTTCAGATTTTATAATGAAAAATCTTTAATATTCAGATTTATTTTCGTAAAATACATATTCAGATTACACCAAACAAATCTTTCAAACATTATCACTTAAGATTTTGTTAAGAGTTCAAATTGTGACAAGACCAAGCAATATCTTTTTTTATATTATAATATTTTGTACATTATTGCACTATTAATGTATTTTTTTAAATAAAAAAATTATGTTAATATTTTCTAAAAAATCTCCCTCCTGTGAAATTCCCACGTGTCCATCCCGATGCACATGCTCGAATTTAATTTATGGTAAATTACGGCCCCTTTTGGTAAGTCAAATTACGAAAAAAAATTCCGTCATATTTCAGTAAGTACAATCACCCCTCATTAACTATGAATCGTCTTACACGTTCACCCTTGCGATATCAAATTTAGTGAAATCTTCTAGATTATGTGGAATATTCTCCAGTTTGTACCCGTTTTACCCCTTTCGAACTCCACATTTTGAAACAATTGATCATAATATGTGTATCTTGACTTGTAAATATCAGATCGTGGTGTATCAAAAATTGCATTTTTACACAAAAGTAGTACAAACTAAAGAATATTCCGTGTAACATACAGAAGATTCTGTTGAATTTGACAACATAAGAGTAAATATGTAAGAAAATTCATAATTGATGAGTGATTATTAAATTATAAAATTATAATTGATAAGTAATTATAAAATTACCAAAAAGAAGGGTTTTTTCGTAATTTGAAATTACCTCATCAATGTGACCCTAACTTACACATTAATTTATTACTCTAATTTATTAATAGAATTTCTGAAATATTCAATGCATGGTTGAGTGTAAGTTTCAAAGTCAAAGATTCTACTCCTAGTCAACTCATTAAATCTGTGGCGGTGCTTATGAAATCCATGCACAATAAATAATCCCATTTTTAAGGATTCTTTTTCTTTTTTATTAAATAAATAATTAAATAAATAAATAAATAAACAAAGAAATGAAAACCCTAGCTCCATTAAACCACACACAAAATCCTATCTCTCTTGCTTCAATCTCCTTTCTCTTCCTTTTTGACTAATATTAATAAATTAAGTTAATCTGGGATTGAGATTGTCATTAATGCAATTTTGATTTTACAGACATTCTTTTTTTTCTTTTTTTTTTTTTTGTGTGAAGATTGAAAGATTAATACAGACTGTGGTTTTTCTCCTTCTGTATGTAAATTCGTAATTCTTTTTTATTTTTATTTTTTATTTAGTTTTTAGTGATGAGGGATATTAGTTTGAATATCGAAGCAGAAAATCAAGAATCATCCAAGTTTGACGATGACGGCCAAGTTAAAAGAACAGGTAATTTTTTATTATTTTTATTTCATTTCCCAATTAATTTGAGTTTTTTTTTTTTTTTTTTTTTTTTTTTTTTGGAATTGAATTGGGAGATTGGGATATATTGAGGTTTTTTTATGCTATTTTTTTTTTGATTTTTCTTAATTAAATGATGAATGAGTTTGGAAATTTGAGAACTCTTCTCTGCAAATTTTGACCTAAAACTGGGTATTCGGGATCGGGATTCGAGATTTCGTATTATCCTGATCCTTCATTTTATAACTTTGGAACAGAAATTTTTGAAATTTTCAAACTTTAGGGTTTTCAGAAATCCCGACATTGAACAACCGTGGGTTTTCAGGATCGAGATTCGAGATTTCGTACTATCCCGATCGTTAATTTTATAACTTGGAACATAATTTTGTTGTTTTTTTCAATATTAGGGTTTTCTGAAATTAGGGTATTGAACTACCGAACGGATTTGAATCCCAACTCCCGAAATTCTAATCCATAAAAAATCTCGAATCCTCGAGTTCCTTTAACGAACGCAACTTTTCACGTATATATTCGAAATTGTGGTGTGACCAAAGAGACGCATGAGTTCCGTCAAGTGACAATCGAATATCATTTGCGTTGAAGTGTTTTTCCTTTTTATTTAATTTATGTATTATTTTTTTTTGTGTGTGATTATAATTAGGGACAATGTTCACGGCAACGGCACATATAATAACGGCCGTGATCGGATCCGGTGTGTTATCCTTAGCGTGGGCCATCGCTCAGCTCGGCTGGATTGCGGGCCCCATCGCCCTATTGGCCTTCGCTGTAATAACCTGGTTTACTTCAATCCTATTGGCTGATTGCTACAGGTCAACTGATGGCACTAGAAATTACACTTACATTGAAGTTGTCAGATCTCATCTAGGTAATAAATGAATTACATATATATATTTATTAATATAATTTTACTATATTTTTTTTTATTTTTTTTATATTGGTTACACAAATTGCAGGAGGATTAAAATTTCAACTTTGTGGTATAGCACAACATAGCAACCTTGTTGGTTCATGTATAGGATACTCAATCACAGCTTCCATTAGCATGGTGTAAGTATATTTAATTCTTGACACATATACATCGATACACGTGCATTTTCAACGTCGAAAGGGGGCCAAGACCCCCCTCGGCTTCTAAACAATCTAGTATTTTATATAGATATCTGTTATTTTTCTAGTACTTAGACTAAAGACATAAATGATAAATCAATGGCGAAACCAGCATATGCCGAAAAGGGGCCTAGACCCCCCTCCGCTTCTAAAAAATCTACTATTTTATATAGATATCGGTTATTTTTCCAGTACGTGGAGTACTAAAAGCATAAATCAATGGCGTAGCCAGCATACATCGAAAGGGGGTCTAGTCCCCCCTCCGCTTCTAAAATATCTACTATTTTATTTTATATAGATATCTGTTATTTTTCCAGTACTTGGACTACTAAAAGCATAAATCAATGGCGTAGCCAGCATACGTCGAAAAGGGGCCAAGACCCCCTCCGCTTCTAAAATATCTACTATTTTATATATATAGACATCAAGAAATGGAAAAAAGAAAACCTAAAAAATTATACATAAAACATAAGACTAGCAACATTTTTATCCATGCATGCATCTATATGTATACGAAAAATCGAAACTTCTGAAAAGTGAAATTTTAAGACGAAAATTGTTGATGCGTATTTTATTTTATTAGGGCTATGGGGAGATCGTATTGCTTCCACAAATACGGGCACGAGGCCGGTTGCCATAGATCGAACAATCCGTACATTATGAGTTTCGGAGCGATGCAACTCGTCCTAAGCCAAATACCGAACTTCCACAAGCTTACGATGTTGTCTATCGTTGCTGCTGTTATGTCGTTCGCTTACTCGAGCATCGGCATTGGCCTCTCTATAGGCAAGATAGCAGGTAATTAATTAATTAATTTAATTAATTAGCACTATAAACACACACTAATTACTTCATTAGTTCTTAATTACTTCTGAATTTATTTATATATATACAGAAGGAGGGCAAATAGAGAGTGGCCTCACAGGGGTACCAATTGGGAAAGACATGTCAAGTACGGACAAGATGTGGAATACCTATAATGCCCTTGGAAACATTGCTTTTGCTTATGCTTTCTCCAATGTTCTTGTTGAGATACAGGTAATTTATTATTAACCTATATAGAAAGGGTTTATTGCATTTAACATCCACTTGTTTACTCTAATTATCAAAAAAACTCCCCGTGTTAAAAATATATTAGCAGAATCACCCCGGGATTCAATTTTGTTAGCAAATTACCCCCGAAAATTGCGCTATTTAGGGTTTTTGTGTACAAAAAAAGCAGCATAGGTTTTTTTTTTGTTTTTGCAGATATATTTATTACACGATGAGTTTTTAGCAATTCGATAAAATTTTGGAGTACTAAATTCAATAAAATCTACACACACACACATATATATAATAATAATAATATTATATGTTGTAGGACACAGTAAAATCAGGGGCATCAGAGAACAGAACAATGAAGAATGCTACTTTGGCGGGAATTTCGATTTCGACCATTTTCTACATGCTATGTGGGGTTTTAGGGTATGCTGCATTTGGCAATGATGCCCCCGGAAATTTCCTAACCGGTTTCGGCTTTTACGAGCCCTTTTGGCTCGTTGGTTTAGCCAATTTATTCATTGTCATTCATCTTGTTGGAGCTTACCAGGTAAATAATTATTAAACGAGTTCATTGCATTTAGCACCCCTGTAATATACTTAATTGATAAAAAAAAACTCCTCCTGCTATAAATATTACCAAAACCCCCCCTATGATGCGTTTTTAGTGGTTCGTTTGCTAATAAAATTGAATCGGTAGGCAATAAGAATTTTTGTTTAGAATAATACAGTAGAATCTCGATAAATTAATAACCTCGATTAAATAATAGTTTCTCCCGGTCCCGACTCGGTGAAAACGTGTTAAATTATTAACTTGATAATTTAATAATTCGCTAAATTAATAGAATTTCTCTTGTCCCGACTGTATTAATTTATAGAAGTTTAACTGTACTTTATTAACGACGTTAATTTATTGCAGGTATATTGCCAACCAACATTTGCGTTCGTGGAAGAATTGGGCAGAAAAAAATGGCCGGAAAGTAAATTTGTGACGAGGGAATATTCCATCTATGGGCGTTTCGACCTGAATTTATTCCGGCTCGTGTGGAGAAGTAGTTTTGTGATACTCACAACGGTTGTCGCTATGCTGTTTCCATTCTTCAACGATTTTATGGGGCTTTTAGGAGCCGCTTCGTTTTGGCCACTGACGGTTTACTTTCCGATAGAAATGTACATTGCAAGAGCAAAGATTCCAAGATTCTCTTTCACGTGGATTTGGATGCAAATACTTAGCGGCATTTGTCTCGTCATTTCACTTCTTGCGGCCGCGGGTGCTATTCAAGGGCTCATAAAATCGCTCGGAACTTTCAAGCCTTTTCATTCGGTTTCTTGAAATTTATTTTTATTATTTATCCTAGGATTTTTTTGTCTATTTTTTCTTAATTTTATTTTTGCAATAAAGATTTGAGGAATGTACATGAATTTATGTAAATAGGTTTTTTTCTTAAGTCAAAACTATAGACAACATCTACTTTTGAAGCTAGTCATGCAATTCTTAATCTTGCATTAGACTATTTTTGTTTTTTAAATCTATTTAAATTAATAAGGTTTTTCTACTTTAATTGTGCACCAACCCTTTCAACTAAATAGCTACGTTTTCATATAAACAAAAAACACATCATAATCTTCTCAAAAGAAAAAGAAAAGAAAAGAAAAGACGTCATAGATAATGACTATAATACCCCTCTCATTAATTATTTCTCAATATTGAGAAAAATATAATAAATATAATATGAGAAATGGAAAATTATATGCTACAACTGGTTATTTAATTTACATTGAGTGGATTTAAATCGTAGATCTACACACAATCACACACATCTATGTGTGTGCGTGCTTTTATACTATGCTACACCGGGTAGATCTTTACCATTCATAAGCACACACACACACATATCCACATTGATGTGTGTATATCAACGGTAAAAATGCACCCAGTGTAACCTTCATCGGGTATATCATAGAAATAACCGTAGATAGTTATTTAATTAAATTTACAGTTCAAATTCACACTTCATATAAATAACCTGGTGTACCATGTATACGAATCTGGACAATACAATGGTCTTCATACAAGCGCGAAAAAAAAAAAAAAAAAAAACCCTAATAAAAAATGACTAAAATACCCTCGCATTAATTGTTTCACCATAAATTATTTCTCAATATTGAGGAAAGTAGTATAATAAATACTCCATTTGGGAATAAATGAATGGGGACAATATAATGGTCTTGATACATGCATGCAAGAATTGCTGAAACATTTGAGATAACCTAATATTAAAATTCACCGAATGGTTTATGTAAGTTTCAAGAAGATGAAATTAAATTGAGCTAATAATTCAACTCACCTAATATTTAGGTGGTGTTTTTGTAATTATTGATCCCATTTTAAGAATCTCCACCACTGTCAGTACATCATAAAAGGCAAAGATAATTAATCCTCACAGCTGTATATTTTCTTTTTGACTATTACAGTAATTTGAAAATGAATTATATATGTATATACAGTGTGAATGCATGACAAAAGATTACATGATCTTCTTGCTCAATTAATTCCAATATATATTCATGTATATATATATGCTCTTTGTGTATGTTGATTTTCTGTACGTAAAAAAGGTGAAGGGATATATATAATAAATATATATTATATATATTATATATATATATAATGGTGAGGGAAACAAGTTTGAGCATTGAAGCAGGAAATGAATCTTCCAAGTTTGATGATGATGGCCGACTAAAAAGGACTGGTAATATGGTCTTTTTATTTATTCTAGTTCCCCCGTTTTCGCGTTTTCGTTCATGTTTCAGGTTTCGGGTTTCGGATTTTAGCGTTTTCGGGGTTTTCATGTTTTTGGGTTTTCGGGTTTCATGTTTCTCGGGTTTTCGCATTTTCGGGTTTCAGGTTCAGTGTTTTCGCCGGGGGCGGACCCAAGAGGTATTGGGTGGGGGGCTAGAATATTTTTTTGGGGCTAAAATGGTACAAATTTTTAACTTTAGCGTATAAATTAATATATAGATAAATAAAGCGAAATATTAAAAAAGTAATAAAAAAGAGGGGGGAAAAAAATTCTGCAGGGGCGGCCCACCAAGGAGTACCTTGGGTCAGCCCCTGTGTTTCGGGTTTCGGATTTTTGTTTTTCGGGTTTTTAGGTTACGAGTAGGGGCGAGTCCGGCCCCTATCTAGGGTGGACTGAAAACTTCAATTTACAAGTTCTTTCACTATATTTTACATATAGTATTATTTACACCACCCAATTTTTATTATTTGGTCCACATAAAACTTAAATTATGAAGAAAAAAAAACCTAAATTTTTCTCTCTTTCTAATTTATCCAAAAAAA